TTTTCCCTATTGCCTTATTTTCTGTTGTTGTTGTTGTTGATTTAACACGCATTTTCCGGCTGCGTGCATTTAAATTGAATTTTAAATATGCATAGAACACAGTTCGCCACACTCGGGCGACAGGTGGCGCTGAGGCCTAGCAGGTGTCTTTGAAGGTGGGCGTGGCAGCGCCCACCCGCAACACACAAACGCCACCTAAGCAGTGGCATCGATTTTTTTTTTTTATGGCTCTCCGGCTCGTTGAGGCTCTTTAAAGCTGTTTATAAATATTTATGGTCATATTTTTGGCAGTTCGCTACGAACAGAGCTTTATTTGGACCAGATAGGTGAGTGACGAGTGAGGCAGGGAGTGGCAGCGGACTGTAACTGCATTAGAAATGTTGCAGCTGACCTGAAAATGTTATAAATGACGATTTGGATTGGTAAAATATGCACGTAACTTAAGGTCCCCCAAAGTTCAGCTTAACCGAATTTAAAGCAAAACTTTACGTTAGCCAAGCTGAAATTCACACGTATCACAGGGCAATTTATCAGGCAAACGCATGATAAATATACATAAATGGCAGAGGAGGAAAAATATATACAGAGCAGCTCAGTAAATTAGGTTAGGACGAGCGAGAGATAGTAAAAACGTTACCCAAATAAATTGAGGTGAAAATACGAGACAAAGGAACCTAGTTAGAGCGCGCTAGCTGGGACTGCCTGATTTCATCTCAAGTCTCCAGTTTGTAGTCGCGTTTAGTTACCCAATTTAAGTGGGTAAAGGTAGAAGTTTTTAAGTTCAAATCTCTTAGAGTTTATTGCTCTTTGTCTACTACTCTATGAGACTCTCTCTCTCTTTCTCTCTCTCGCTTTGTCTCTCCTTCTTTATCTATTCTTAATTATCCATCTCCCTCCACTTCTTTTCTCTGTGTCTCTCCAGTCTTGGCTCTATATCTTTATATATATATTTATATATCTTTCTTATTTTACGGCTGTCTTTATCTCTCTCTCTCTCTCGCACCCTTTCTCTTAGTAAAATCTTATGAGATGTTCAGCATTATTATATAAAACTTAGACCTCATTATAAATGAATTTTCTTCTCAACTAATTGAATTTTCAGCTGTTGTTCTTGTTTTGATTGAAAATATTTAAATGAATGCATGAAATTTTCCATTTCAATGCAAAAATAGATTAAAGACTGAATCAACTAAATAAAATAACAAGATTTAACTGCTTCAGCAGCTCGACAATATCTCTATTTTTAACACATTGTCGAAACCTTCAACAAAGCCATAGACTGAACTGATTGCAAGTTATTGTAACAGATAGAAATCAGAAGCTATGACAATTTACATAAATCTCTTCAGCAAAATCCTTCAAACACAAAAGAAAACAGATAGAAAGAGAGACTGATAAAAAGAGAGAGAGAGAACTAGGAAGAGACAGCCGGAAACGTTTTCGGTTCAATGAAATTTTTACTTTCCCAATCACATACATCTCCATTGACAGCCCACTCAGGGCGACTGTGTTCGACTGTTCAGGAATTTATGTGTTATGATGTCAATCCACATTATCATTGCTCATGCCGGGAGCTCATCAAATTTTCAATAGCTCTGTCAGGCTTAAGTGAGTGCTTCTTACGTCAGCTGTCGTTCGCTTGAAGGGGCCGTGTTAACAGGCCATGGCTTAATTAGAAGCTACATGGAGTTCGTACCTATCTGATTTCAAGCTTGGATCAGCGCGTTTAGATCTGACTGTCAAGTCCAGAATTTATAGGCCCATTAAGTGTGTGTGTGTGGGTGTGAGGAGCGCGCTCTACGCTGCGTAGTCGCAATAAATTGATTGATGGCAAATTCGTGTCCTTGTCGCAGCAATTTGTTAAGCCCCGAAAAAAGGATTCTCATGTCCTACCAGCAGCTGTAAAGAAGCAATTTAAATTTCGTAAATAGATTTGCCAAATCGATACGCCGAAGGACCCTTTTTGCGGCCTGCTGCTGCTCCTTTTTTTGCTCGTTTCTCGTTTGCCTATTTAAAATATATAAATATTTTAAGTTAATAAATGCGGCATCAACTCGACTGGCGCCTGCGGTCGCTATCTACAAGTTGGACAAGTGCTGAAGAAACACACAAACAGAAAGCACACACACACACACAGATACACGGAAGCATCGACATTTGCATAAACCGTGCCTTGGCCCCGGATTTTTGTTTGCCTTGTTTGGCAAAGCTGCCCTTTTCCAACATTATCCGCCCGCGGCCAGGCTCTAGCTACAGCTTCAGCTCGAGTTTGTTAAAGAGTTCGCCAGGAGCAGCAGCAGCAGCAGCAGGAGCAGGAGCAGCAGCTCAGGTTAACTTTACAGCCGGCTAATAGTCGATGAGCCGCTGGGAGCTCCTTTAAGCTGTTGGCCTTTATCGCTACAGCAGCAACAAACACAACAACAACGCCAAACAAAGGCAGCCAGTTGTATGCCACAAACTGCGGCACATGTAAATCGAACCTCAACAGACACACAAATACAAATACAAGCACACGTTGGGAAAATGCTAGGAAAATGGCAAGAAAAATAGACATTTATTTAAATAAAATCACAAGTCGAGAGCAGAACAAAAAATCAATGAGGCTCACACAATTTATAGCAACTCATGTTAGCCTCTTAATAATACCCTATAAATAGGTAGAAGTAGAAGTAGAAGTAGAAGTAGAAGTAGAAGTAGAAGTAGAAGTAGAAGTAG